TTCTATTCTATTCTATTCTATTCTATTCTATTCTATTCTATTCTACTCTACTCTGCTCTACTCTACTCTACTCTACTCTACTCTACTCTACTCTATTATCCCCAATATCTTTGATTCTCAATGTTTAAATGCATTTTCAGGTTTTCCAGAAGGTGTCTGAGGAAAAGAAAGGAAAGGTTCATGTGTTTTACTGCGGTTCTCCTGCTCTGGCCAAAGTCATCAAGGCCCAGTGTGAGCAGTTCGGCTTCAACTTCTACAAAGAACATTTTTGAAGAATTTATAATATTTCATTTGCTTGAAATCTAACAAATAGTAGGAAATAATCATCTGACAATCTGATGTTGCCGATGTGTCTGATGTACGTTTTGTAAAGCTCACGTTGTTGTATGTTTTCATTTATTTGCAGTGTTTGTGTAAGTAACCTTTTAACACTTTTAATGAACTTATATAAGTTTTTTTATTTTTTTGTTATTATATTTATTATTTTTTAATTGATTTTTGAAATGCCCTTTCTGGATATTATGCATCATATAAAATTTTTATTAATTTATTTTTTAGTTTTAGCTCCAGTAAGAGAATAGTCTCTGCAGTTGGTGTCATATAAAATTGTCATGTAAATAACAGTATGACGTAATTTATTCTAGAATACACAGTAGGAATTATTAGTTACTAAGATGCAAATACAAATAATGAAAAACTGTTACTTGAGAAAGGTGTAAAAAAAAAAATTTAACTGCTTTGATGACATAAACAGTTTACATTGCCAAGGCATAATAATATAAAAATAATAATAAATATTACATACAATATTACCAAATACAGTTGTGGTCAAAATTTTACATACACTTTGCAGTGTCTGCAAAATGTTAATTATTTTACCAAAATAAGATGGATCATACAAAATGTTATTCTTTATTTAGTGCTAACCTGAATAAGATATTTCACATAAAAGATGTTTACATATAGTCCACAAGAGAAAATAATAGTTGAATTTATAAAAATGACCCCATTCAAGAGTTTATATACGCTAGTATCTGCAAAATGTTAATTATTTTACCAAAATTCGAGGGATCATACAAAATGCATGCTATTTTTTATTTAGTACTGACCTGAGTAAGATATTTCACATAAAAGATGTTTAGTCCACAAGAGAAAATAGTTGAATTTATAAAAATGACCCCATTCAAAAGTTTACATGCTTGATTCTTAATACTGTGCTGTTACCTGGATGATCCACAGCTGTTTTTTTTGTTTGTGTGTGATAGTGATAGTTGATTTTTAATTACTTGTACTAATTGTACTATTCACGTGTATGTGTAAGTGTTTTTAACTCTGTTCTTTGATATCTACCATAAAAGACATATAGGCTATTGTTCTCTCAGTGTTAGAACGTTTGCAATCATTAGCGATTGTAATAGATAGAAATCTGTTGCACATTCCTGTCGCATTGTGTTCCCTGTTCCTGATTTCCTAAATAAACGTCAGACTCAGACATGGATTCGCTTGGTTTACAGAGACATCTTGTGATTATGTTCAGCAACGCAACACAAGCAGCACTATATGGACTTTATTTATCATTCAAAATTTCAATAAGATTCTGCACAGACGATTTTTTTTTTTTTTTTTGCATTATTTTTAACGAATCTTAGTATTGTTCTAACATGTATAATAATAATAATCAAATAAATACATAATTATAAAATGTTTTTAAAGAAATTTTGTTAATAAAGAAATAAAATAATATACATATAATACATTAGTAAACGCAGGTGAGCTTGCCACAATCAAGAATAGTCGTTTATTATCAGTCATAATATTCAACTAATGTCACACCAATCTGACATTTAATTGGCTGCCACGGAAGCCCGTCTCCTCTCATTGGCCAGTGCTGCATCAGCTACAGCTGTAGCATCTATCTACTATGTTGCAGATTTGGAGCGAGAGGAATCGCCTCATATATTTTTCTTTGTCGTCTTCTATATTATGCCTTCATAGACCCCGAGCGGACGGTGCGTTGGTTTCATGTGAGAGTAAGTATGTTTTCATTCCGTTTTACAGCACTTCATGTTGTTCAACGCCCTCATTCGCATTCAAAATCACATGAGCCCTCGCAGCTTCAATTTAGAGTGATGCGATTAGATTTTATAATCATTCGCCTGTGTATGTGCTGAAAGGATTAGTGCTCAATAACGGGATTTGTTTCTCATTCATAATGTGACCATGCAAGTTGCTTCTAGATGGTATGTAGCTATACATTAACGTTTAATTTTACACTTACATTTATTATAGGTGTAAGCCTTCACCATAAGACTTCAGTATACCAGTGATCTTGATGGTAAGATGTTATATTTTGATATATATTGTGGTTATTCCAGGTATATGACAAAATGGTGGACCCATATTTACCTCTGTCCGCAGATGCTGCACCTGAATCGCTCTAACAGGACCTTAAGGGTTTCCTGAGATGTTCCACTATCACTGCATGGCTGTGATGTGACAATGCGCTGTCTGGTGGCTCGCATCAATCACAAGACTCTGATAGTCATCTGTGCTGTGTTTGCCCTCATCACTGTACTGCTGTGGAACAAGTGCTCCCGTGACAAAGACCTACCCACACAGATCAGACCTCATCTGGAGTTTGCACCCACCCCAGAGAAGGACGAAGAGAACGGGCAAGCCCCTGAAGCACCGCCTGGATCCAAAGAAGTCACTTACGAGCAGATTGACTGTCTTATCAATGAAGATGTCATCATAAAAGGCCGTAGGGAGAGGGGTGAGGTGTATCTGCCTTTCAGCTGGGTGGAAAGGTACTTTGACGTCTACGGGCGTCTGGTGCAGTATGATGGGATGGAACGGTTTGAGTTCTCCCACAGTTACTCACGGGTGTACGCCCAAAGGGAGCCTTACCACCCGGATGGGGTCTTCATGTCCTTTGAGGGCTACAACGTGGAAGTGCGGGATCGGGTGAAATGCATCAGCGGTGTGGAAGGTAGTTTGCATAAAATAGGCGTAGCCAGCCCTGTTCCTGTAGTGCTACCGTTCTGCAGAGTTCAGCTCCAATCCCAATCAAACACACCTGAACCAGCTACTCAGGGTGTTCAGGGTTACTTTTTATATGTAAATGACGTTCAGAAACTGTATTTGAAATGAATAAGGAGGAACAAATAAATATTGATAGAAAAAACGACATTTATTTATTAAGATTGATTTTCATTTGGCATGCATTACACGTAACGGTGAGCAGCCGCAGGTTATTTATTCACATAATGTTCTCTTTTAAAATGTAAACAAGTGTAAGGCCCTGTTTACACTAGTGCGTTTTTATTTTAAAACGCTGTTTTAAAATGAAAACGATCCTTGTCTACACTTGCGTTTTCACTGCATTTCAGAAACGATCTCCGTCCACACTACACAACCGAAAATGCATGTCACATGACCATTCATGCAGGTACAACAATGAGCATGATGTTATTGTTTACACGGTCATCAAGGATACTCAGAGCGAATGTTGGCAGCCATGCCATCGTTTTTAGAAGTCTTCGTTTTGGTCCGTTTACACTGAAACGCAACCCCGGAGTTTTCAAACTAAAACGGGGTCTGCAGCGTTTTCGAAAGTCTCCGTTTTCGAAGGTCTAAAACGTAAAGTAGTGTAAACGACAGGCGTAACCGTAGCAAAAGTTATGTGTTTTAAAATGAAAACGCACTAGTGTAAACGTAGCGTAAATGTCAAAAGCAGGGGTGCCCAATCCTGTTCCTGGAGATTGACCTTCCAGCAAAGTTCAACTCTAACTCTAATAAAATGCACCTTAACCAGCTAATTAAAATCTTCAGGAACACTTGATAATTACAGAGAGTTTGTTGGAGCAGGGTTGGCACTGAATTCTGCAGGAAGTTAGATCTCCAGGAACGGGATTGGGCAACCCTGGTTTAAAAGAACATACATTTGAAGTTTCATAAAATGTTTTCATAAAGAATTATACAATTTCTGGGATCAACCTTTTGTGTTTTTATTGTTCACAGGTGTACCAATCTCTACCCAGTGGGGTCTTCAGGGTTACTTCTACCCCATCCAAATAGCTCAGTATGGGCTGAGCCACTACAGCAAGAACCTCACAGAAAAGCCACCTGACATAAAGATCTATGGCATGTCCGAGGAAAAAGAGGGTGGCTCAAGTCCATGGGTCGTCCCTAAGGGTTGCACGCTGTCCAAGCTCCAGGATCAAGGTCGCTCTGGGTTTGCAAACCATTTTGTCACAGCAGGTATGAATTCCTTGTTAAATTTTTGTAGATGTGAATTCAGATGAATCGACTGATTTGCTGTGATGATCATAGATAGATGATAACTTTGTTGTATTTTCATAGAGAACTCTGATGGTGTGTCTTTGGTCTTGGACAATGCAAAAGATTTCATCCTGACCTTTGATGTGAAGTTTGTCTCCAATGGTAGCGTCTCTGTGGTTCTGGAGACCACAGAAAAGGGGCCTCCTTACATCATCCATTACATCACTAGTCCACTCCTTCTTTCTTTTAAAGACCGAGAGGTCATCTATGGCATCGGCTCTCGAGCCTCGTGGAGTACCGTCAGTCGCGATTTAGTGACGGATTTGCGTAAAGGAGTCGGTTTGTCCAACACCAAAGTGGTGAAGGCAACCAAGATCATGCCTCGCCGTGTGGTCCAGCTGGTTCTTAGAGGTTCTGGCTTTATCAGCAATATCACTGTGTCTTCCACTGCACACATGGCTGCCTTCTTTGCCGCCAGTGATTGGCTTCTTCATAACCAGGATGAGCATGGAGGGTGGCCGATTAAGGTGACCCGTAAGCTCGGAGAGGGTTTCAAGAGCTTGGAGCCCGGATGGTACTCCGCCATGGCCCAAGGCCAAGCCATGTCGACATTGGTCAGGGCGTACCTGGTGACGCACAACCCTGCATACCTCGGTGCCGCAATCCGAGCGACATCCCCCTTCAAGAGGACTTCGGAACAACGTGGCGTCAAGGCGACATTCTTGAACAAGTACAACTGGTATGAAGAATACCCCACAACGCCTAGTTCGTTTGTTCTTAATGGCTTTATCTACTCTCTGATTGGGCTGAATGATGTGGCAGAAACAGCGGGCAACAAGCTTGGTCGAGAAGCAGGTGTACTCTTCAGTCAAGGACTGGAGTCGCTCAAGGCCTTGTTGCCATTGTTTGACACAGGTTCTGGAACCGTTTATGACCTGAGACACTTTACCCTGGGTGTTGCCCCTAATTTAGCACGCTGGGACTACCACACCACGCACATCAACCAGTTACAGCTGCTTGCATCAATTGACAGTGCCCCCATTTTCAGGGACTATGTGAAACGATGGAAGACTTACCTGAAAGGAGGCCGGGCCAAGCACAACTAGACTTTCTCAGATGGCAATTTTATATAAAAATGTGAACTATTGTTTGAGAATGAAGTAAACTGAGCATTAATAATTAAATAAGCATTTTTACTTTACGTGAAAAGGGTTTCATATTGTATCCATCTTGATTACTTAAAAGTGTCTTGCTGAAGAGCTAGAGTTGTTGTACAGACTTTGAGAATGTGGAGTCACCTAAAATATTTATTTCCAAAATATCATGGTATATTTGAATGTAAGAAGCAATGCACAGTTATTTACACAGATTTTGAAGAAAGCACAGCAGATTTTCTCAAATAAAATAACTGTATATCTTGATGCATACAATTAGTAAATGTGAGTAGTCACACTAATGATTGTGTATTAATGAATCTATGAATAGGTTATACTGTAAAAATTCCATTGTTGCATAATGGTAAAATGAGTGCTTTGTATTAGAAATGTTTTAGAAATATTTTATCTTTGTATTTTAAAGCACAATCCTATCATAGGTCTTTGTGATTTGATACAGTTGCACAATTTGAATAGTTTTCTTTTCAGTATGTAATTATTTAAAGCTTAAATAAATGTGCTATTTGAGCTGTTTTAAAACTTTGTGAACAATCATTGCTACGAAAAGAGTACACTGATAGACACATATGGCACATATCATATTAATGCTATGGTATTCTTTGAAGTACCTTGGAGTCCCATCATGTAAAACCCTGGCACGTGAATATGGTAATCATTAATCGCTGTGGCATATATCAAAATACCATGGTGTTATGATCTGATACAATCACTGTATCTTAGTACTGCCATAAGGACTTTGACTTCATTTCTTTTAACACAATTTAAATGTCTTAAAACCTTAAAAATACTCTTCTTTCTAAATTATGAAAACATGCGAATAAATATATATTCAATAAATGAAAAATAAATTAATCCCAATGACCTGTAAATCATAAAATAATCGCACAATCTAGCTGTCGTTTTTCTGAGGCGATCCACTCTGCATTTGATTAACCGACCTAAAGTAGTTCAATGCAGTCCGCTCTCGATTAGTATGCCTGCCTACGCAGAGCTACCCATAAACCAGTTAGCTAGCATAATTTCTCCGATAGCCACCACAATACAATCTCTCAATGTACCGCTAATTCAGACGGTTTGATTGAGATACTCCTAAATGACATGAATGTAATCTGCTCGGCGCTTCGGATCGGTGGGTTGTCAATCCAGGTCGCTTAATAACGATCCATCTCGGCTAAGAGGCTAAGAAGCTAACAGCGTCTTCGATGACATTTCACTGACAAACACAACAGAACAGGTCTGTAAAATATCGATAAATTGGCTGTTTAATCTGCTTTCCAATACAATCATAGTGTTTGTGTGGTTATATAATTGTTAGAACTAAGACATGTGTAAATAAATAAACGTTTATAGCGAATATATGGTGGCTAACACTGTAGCTTCAGTTTCCATATTTGGGCAGGCACGGCAGTGAGTTATTGTTAGTTGCACGACCAAAAAACTCATTTAATATCTTTATTAATATTGTTAATGTGCATATTTTGTGCTCCGTGGTTTGCGGTTGATCAAATATGAATGAAGATTTCGCTGGCATTGTGTGCATTTAAATGGCTTGTTTGTTTACATGGTTCAGCACATCTGAATCTGAATCACAGCAACATCAAATCTTACTGACCTGTCTATAAATGACTAAATCAAAGGTAATTTTTGGTGTAATATCATGGTAAAACACCCACAGGGTTTGCTTTTGCAAATCTGTTGTCTAAAGGATGGTAGAGTGATGCTTCATGGACTTGATTGCTGGGCCCTATAACAGATTATTGTGTTTGTAGTGAAGAAACATTTTTATTGCATACACTGTTAAATTATGAATCAAGGGTTTTGTTGCATGAACAGTCGGTTTTGTACAGACATCTGTCTGGAGACGAGCTGTCATTTAGTTTGCAAGTCTCTGTGTGTTGAAATGCAGAGAATGAACTTGCTCTTGATCATTTTTATTTAATCAGTGAATGATCTCTCAGAAGTATTGTCCTTTTAATGAATTGCTGATAAGTGATGTTTCTTACAGACATATAGATTATTGTTTGTTGATTTGAGCTAATTTCTTTGTGTCTGTCCACTAGTCTGCATGGCCGACGTGCTGCTGAGGTAGTGTCCGGCCCGTGTGCAAAGAAGGCCGGCCGGGCCGTGGAGCACTAGAGAGGAAAAATGGCAGTGCAGAACAGAAACTCTGTGCTGATCCTGTCGGGTCGAGAGCGAGGAGCTCGCATGCTGGGCTCCCAGCAGCTCCTGCAGCAGCTGGTGGAAGACCGGACGCGCTGGATGAAATGGCAGAGCCAGGTAGGGTATCAACCTTAATGATTCTAATGGTTCACTCTGCCCTACAGTCAGCAGACGTTTCTATATAGACCAATTTCAAGATATCACAGTCAGAATAATGTCTTAAGTAAATTTTTTTGCAGCAGAGAATATTCAAAACCTTCCTCCCCCATCAGCTGAAATTATGTCAAAGTGTCTTGTTATTGGATGTTTTCTTATCAATTAATTAATAAATCGTTATTAATCTTCAGAATGTTTTGTATTTAATGAGTATGATGAATGAAATAAAATGGCAAAACATGCATTTTAGATCCTTAGGTCCCCATGTTTTATTGGATATAGTTACTTTTAAAAAGGGGGGGCTAATACAAAACATTTCTGGAAAAATTGGGAAGATTTTACAATTAAATAATTTTGTTTTCAGGGTTGATGGCATATCTGATAACAATTCTATTAATATTAATGTTCTTGTTTTAATGTAGAATAATAATGCAATAATTTGGTCATTGTTTGTGTGTTATAAAATATACAGATTAGATTATTTGACAGTTATTGAGAGGCTGAACTCAAAATTTGTACAGTACATTGAAAAAATTGTCACATCAAGCTTGATTTTTACGTTGCATGCATTTTTAGCAGATTTAGAATTTTAATTGTTAGATTAATTTATTTTAAACTAACAGTTAATATTGTTAACTTAATTGTTATATTGATATAATTTATTTTAAATTATATCTATTTTTTATTTTATAGTCTTTGATTGACCCTGAAATTTCACTATGGCTCCATGCTGTAAAAGCTTTAATTTCCCAATTATCATGCCTGCAAATAATATATGTATGCAAATATACATATGTGTGTTTGTATGTATGTATATCATATGTATATGTCTCAATTATTTCTACAGAAAGTAGAGTTGCCGGATAATCCACGATCAACCTTCCTGCTGGCCTTCAGTCCAGATAGGTAACAATTACATTTGAAGAGAAAAAAAAAATTAGAAAACACTAGATGCTAAATAACTTAAGTTTTCCCTTGCTTCCAGAGATTGTATTTACTTTTTTTTTTTACTTTTCTAGGAATCTTGTGGCCTCAACCCACGTCAACCATACCATCTACATCACCGATGTGAAAACAGGAAAATGCCTGCACTCTTTAGTGGGCCATCGACGCACACCTTGGTGTGTGACCTTTCACCCCACCATCCCTGGCCTGGTTGCCTCTGGGTGCCTTGATGGAGAAGTCCGCATTTGGGACCTGCATGTGAGCATCAGTTTTGTTTAGTGTTTTAGTTATTCCCAATATGTGTGGAGCTTCCACTTTTGCAAACATTATGTTGTGTGTTAGTTACTTTGTGTTTGATTTTCATACCGTTCGGTAGCAGCTCAAGGCGGTTTTTCTGGTCTGATAAAATTGCAAGTCATCTACATAATATACTAGGCATTAGAACCCCAAACGTTGCTGTTTAAATGATTGTTGTTGATGAATTTTCCCTATTCCCAGGGTGGTAGCGAAAGCTGGTTCACCGAGAGTAATGTTGCCATCGCTTCTCTAGCGTTCCACCCCACAGCTCAGCTCCTGCTCATCGCCACCAATAACGAACTTCACTTCTGGGACTGGAGCCGACCAGAACCTTTTGCTGTGGTCAAGACCGCCAGCGAGACCGAACGTGTCCGGTGTGGATGCAATCCTGTTATTTCATAGTGGTCAAAACTAAATAAAAATGGACCCATTTTCTTTCCGGTAATCATTAAAACAATTAATCCTTAATTTTTTTTTTTTGACCAGGTTGGTGAGATTTGATCCTCTAGGTCATAATCTTTTAACAGCTATTGTGAACCCATCCAACCAGCAGGTTAGAAACAACCTTTTTTCCTGTCAAAATAGCTGTTCTGTTTTTTCCTCTGTGTATTTCCCTTTTACAAACGTAATTTTGTGAGTGTTTTACTGTGTTTTTGTAGAATGACGATGACTCCGAGGTCCCCATGGACAGCATGGAGATGGCTTTGTTCCGCCAACGTTCTCTTTTACGCTCCCCACCTGTACGTCGGACACCAATCCTACACAATTTTCTGCACATCTTGTCCTCTCGCTCTTCTGGAGCACAGGCTGGTGATCAGTCCCGCCCCGCCCCAGAGCCCAGAGAGCCTCCCAGCATACCTCGGTTCCAGTACCCGGTACGGACAGAACCGGGTGACCGCCCTGCCTTACAGGGCTGCACGCAGCATTTGGGTCTGGGCTGTCTGTGCAGTCGCTGCGCTGCCTCGCGGAACTTATTCGCACAGAATCCGACAGGCCTCCAGCCTTCGGATTCACCTCAACCGCAAACTCAGTCGGGCCCCTCTGCCTTCTCGCCCGCCCCTAGCCAGACCCGCACCTCCACGGACCGACCGTCTGCTTTTAGCAGCGTGTTCAGCGGGGCTGCGGGGAACTCTGCGCATCGGGGACTCTTGCCTCTTAGGACTATTGATCCCTTGGGGTCACAAACACCTGGTCCTCTTGAGGCCCCTGGGCGTCTCCCTGGGGCTGATTGGTCTGGTAGTCTGCTGAGCACGGGACATGAACATGGGTTAGGTGCGATTGGGGTGGAAAGCAGCGCCGAAAGGAGCGTTGTGCCCCCTCCTAGGACAAGCTCCTCTTCTATGGATCTCCTCTCCCTGCACAGGTTCCCCGATGGTTCCTCTTCATCACCCATATACACGTCTGCTACAGAAGGGCGAGGCCTAGTGCTGCCCGGCACGGAGCCCAACCGTGGACGAGCCAACGATGGCACCAGTAGTGGCCATCACCCCTTCTATGACAACACCCAGCGCAACAACCCGGCCTCCATACGCAACGTCCTGCAGTGCAACCTGAGCCGTTACTTTATGGAATACGAGCGAATGCAGGAGTTGGAGCGACCCGGTGGCAGCCGAGAGGTGCCGGGTGGACCGGGACCCATGCAAGAGCTCCTCAACAGTGGTATGGACACAGAACGTCTTGGGCTTTCGCACAATGGCTCTTCCCGCACAGGAAACGGAGGCACGGTCGCCGGCCCCTCTCAAAACCACCCTAATCGTTGCCGTTCGTGCCACAACCTCCTCACCTTCAACCACGACACTCAACGCTGGGAACGTTCCGGTCAGACCTCTTCTTCCTCTTCTTCACAAGACGGACCATCATGGCCGCTTTCAGTGCCTCCGTTTGAGGACCCAGGTCAGGGTGCACGAGTGGAGCCCCAGGCCCCTGAGATGAGGCCCATGGAGTTGGGTGAGGCCTCCTCTGGTCTACAGGGCCAGCAGCCTATGGGTCTGGTGTACAATCAGGAGACGGGGCAGTGGGAAAGCGTGTACCGGCAACCAACGGCAAGCACTGCTTCTGAGGCAACACAAGACGCCTTAAACCCAGAGGTGCCTGTTGATAATCCGGACGAGGACTCACTCAGGAGGTGGGGAAGAACAAAAACTAAATTTGGTTATTACGGTGTGGTCATATTAGCGAAATTTCAGTATAAAGTTGCGGGCAAAAAAAGGTCCATTGTCTGTTGTCAGTAGTGTAGCAAAGCAGATTTCTGCCGGTCAACATGGTAAATTGGCATGTCTGACTTGAATCTGTTGTGAAATCTGCATGGAAAATATTTTTCCCTTATGCGAGGTTCCCGTTCATGTGGGTTCCTATTGAAATGGCTGGATTTTGTCTGCAAATATCCTTGAACAATGGTAAATGTTTTACATTTGTCTTTCCTGTTCTCATCTATTGCCTCAGGAGGTTGTTGGAATCGTCGCTGTTTCCATTCTCTCGATATGATATGTCTGGCTCCAGAGATCATCCCATATACCCAGATCCTGCCAGGTACCTGTTTGAAAGCCTATATGTACAAAATCAAAGCTAATTATTGGACTTTAACTTCAGAGTTTGATCTTTCTGTTCCTCTTCCACATCTCCTCAGGCTGTCTCCAGCTGCTTACTATGCTCAGAGAATGATCCAGTATCTGTCTCGAAGAGAAAGCATACGGCAGCGTTCCCTACAGAATCGCCTACGGACGCTCTCAAACTCTCAAGCCGACAGCCAGTCAAACATCCCCTCCTCCATGCCACCAGAGGCCAGTGATGGAGACTATGAGGACATCGAGTGAGTCTGATAAAACTCATTGCATCCCTACTCATACATACATACATCTGTATTACTGTACGATTGCAATTACAGTTTTGTAAATCCTGTGTTCATCCCAGTGGTTTTGGATTTTGAGTAAGTGTTCAATATTTATTTTCGCTCTCGGTCACAGGGAGCCTGGAGACAGGACAAGACACAGAATGCCCCGCAACGCTCGAATGTCAGCCCCCTCTCTTGGGCGCTTTGTCCCACGGTCAGTGTCATATGTGACGTTTAACATAGCCTGTCATAAACTACTATTCAAAGGTTTATTGTTTAAAATGTATTTTGTGAGAAGTCTTAGGCTCACCAAGGCTGCTTTTATTTGATCAAAAATACTGTAAAAATAGTAATACTGTGAAATATTATTACTATTTAAAATAACTGTTTTCTGTTTGAATATATTTTAAAATGTAATTTATTCCTGCGATGCAAAGCTGAATTTCCAGCCTCATTACTCGAGTCTTCAGTGTCACATGATCCTCCAGAAATCAATCTGATATGCTTATTATTATCAGTGTTGAAAACGGTTGCTTAATATTTTTGTGGAAATTGTAAAATATTTTTCAGGATTCTTTGATGAATAGAAAGTTCAAAAGAGCAGCATT